TTTTCACTGTGCCTTTAAAGCAGACTGGGTGGGTGGTCAAATCTTTCCTCTCCCTCCCTTCCCCCTTCTTTCTCCAGGTGAGGAGAGAGAAAGAGAGGGAGAGAGAGAGGCACTTGCACTTCCTCTCTCTCTCTCTTTCCTCTCTCTTTCTCTCTCTCTTTTTCTCTTTCCCCTCTCCCTCTCTTTCCTCTCCCTCCCTTCCCCCTTCTTTCTCCAGGTGAGGAGAGAGAAAGAGAGGGAGAGAGAGAGGCACTTGCACTTCCTCTCTCTCTCTCTTTCCTCTCTCTTTCTCTCTCTCTTTTTCTCTTTCCCCTCTCCCTCTCTTTCCTCTCCCTCCCTCCCCCCTTTCTCCAGGTGAGGAGGGAGAGAGAGGCACTTGTGCTTCCTCTCTCTCTCTTTCCTCTCTCTTTCTCTCTCTTTCTCCTCTCCCTCTCTCTTTCCTCTCTCTTTCTCTCTCTCTTTTTCTCTTTCCCCTCTCCCTCTCTCTTTCCTCTCCCTTCCTCACCCCTTCTTTCTCCAGGTGAGGAGAAAGAGAGAGAGAGAGAGGCACTTGTGCTTCCTCTCTCTCTCTTTCCTCTCTCTTTCTCTCTCTTTCTCCTCTCCCTCTCTCTTTCCTCTCCCTCCCTCCCCCCTTCTTTCTCCAGGTGAGGAGAGAGAAAGAGAGGGAGAGAGAAGAAAGAGAGAGAGAGAGAGAAAGAGAGAGAGAGGAAGCACAAGTGCCTCTCTCTCCCTCTCTCTTTCTCTCTCCTCACCTGGAGAAAGGGGGGAGGGAGGGAGAAGAAAGAGAGGGAGAGGGGAAAGAGAAAAAGAGAGAGAGAAAGAGAGAGGAAAGAGAGAGAGAGAGGAAGTGCAAGTGCCTCTCTCTCTCCCTCTCTTTCTCCTCACTTGGAGAAAGAAGGGGGAAGGGAGGGAGAGGAAAGATTTGACCACCCACCCAGTCTGCTCTAAAGACACAGTGAAAACACAGCCAGCACTCCCCCTGAAAATCTCTCTTGCGCTTCCTCTCTCTCTTTCTTTCCTCTCTCTTTCTCTCTTTTTCTCTTTCCCCTCTCCCTCTCTCTTTCCTCTCCCTCCCTTCCCCCTTCTTTCTCCAGGTGAGGAGAGAAAGAGAGAGGGAGAGAGAGGCACTTGCATTTCCTCTCTCTTTCCTCTCTCTTTCTCTCTCTCTTTTTCTCTTTCCCCTCTTCCTCTCTCTTTCCTCTCCCTCCCTTTCTCCCCCCCATCTTCTGCTCACCTCACATTCTTCGCTGACAAAGCAGCCGGGACTCCGGCGCGCCTTCCCAGCCAGCTGGGCCAATGGTCCTGCAGCTGGAGATCGCAGGGGCTGCTCTCTCTCAGGGCCGTGGCTTGCGGGAAGGCTGGCCTGCTCAGCAGAGGCTCTGGCGGGCTGCTCCCAGCGGGGATTCCAGGCTTCCCCGTGCGGTTCCCCGACCACGTGTACCTCGGACGGGGCCAGCCAGGGAAAGGGNCTACAAATGGCGGAGGACGCTCGGAGCTGCAGGAGAAGGCTCAAAAGTGTCCCCAAAACATCTCGCTCCATCGCCCCCCTATCGCCCCCTTTTCGTTCCATCGCCCCCACGCCGCCCCTTTTCGTTCCATCGCCCCCCTGAAAAATGAAATCGCCCCCTGGGGGGCGGTACCGCCCAGGTTAAGAACCACTGGTTTAAACAATATTTTGCATGATTGCTATTCCTTCTTAGAAGTTCATTTTAAACAATGAGTACCACCTGACTGGTTCATATCCAATTGATCTGTTGCAGATTTAATAGGCACACTCACATGTCATTAAATTAAAATCAAGGTCCATACTATTCCCCCTTCTCCTCTTAATTTGGCTTTAGAATCTCTTGCATTAAGTAGAAATACTAAAATCCTTAATGGATTTGCACTAAGACAGGGCTTTTCAACCTTTTCACCCATTGTATCACTTTTAGGATACGGCAATATCCGAGTGCCACCAGTCGCCTAGCAAGGTGTCAAAAACTTGATGACCCAAAAAAAAAGAAAAAAAAAAGGAAAAAAGTGATGAAGTACAGGTAGTCCTCGACTTACAACAGTTCGCTTAGTGACTGTTCGAAGTTATAATGGCACTGAAAAAAGTGCCCCCCAAGCCACAGCTGAGCAAGACACCTGCCTGCCCACCTGGCGGCGCTCTTCCTCCTGTCCGAGGTTTTCATTGTTGTGAGCATTTTTGTTGAGGATTGGCAGTGGGGGTGGGGGGGTGTTTGGTTTTTATTCCCCCCGTCTGCTGGGTGGTTGCAGCAGGTTTTGGTCACTTCACATGACCCTGGGACACTGTGACCGTCATAAATATGAATCAGTTGCCAAGCATCTGAATGTAAATCACAAGACCCTGGAGATGCTGCAACATTCCAGCTGATTGGCGCTTCTTCTCGGCTCAGCAGAAGCGCCAGGATCAGCGCCGAGCTCCAGATGGAGCCTGGTGCTGATCCTGGTGCTTCTGCTGAGCCCTGACAGCCCTGCAGTTCCAGCCATCTCTCGCTCAGTCTTGTGCGGTGTTGCCACCCGTTCAGCTCATTCCCCTCCCCCGCAACCACTTTTCTAGGTTGGTCGCGTACCACCTGCCAGGTGCCAATGTACCACAGGTGGTATCCGTACCACTGGCTGAAAAGCCTTGCACTAAGAGACCACAGTGCACAAGGCCCTGCTATAAGCAGATAATATATTTCACTCATTGAGCAGACATTTCTATTCCTAAACTCACTTCATGAGTTTGGTTTTCCTATCTGATTATTCTGTTAATTGGATAAATTATATTAGATGTCACTGGGGCAGGACAGTGATTTTGCCACATATGTGTGGAATGGAATTTTTACACTGTATTTGACTCCTTTGTGTAAGTACAGTATTTACAGGAAACTTTCTCAATTAGCAAATGTAAAATAAATCCATTGTTTTCATGAAAAAATCGATATATTTGTGATTAATATGAATTAATTCTAAGGGGCTTGACTCTTTGACAGGCCTTTCAATACTTCTTTCTTACATTATTTTTTACAGGACACCGAATAAATTACTCTAATGAGGTTATGCTGTGAGATTTTCATTGTATACATTATAATTACCTCTTGGGAATTTAACTTCCCCGCTGTCAGGTTTATCAAAAGGCATTTATTCTAGATTTCTCACCATTTATAGTTAGGAACTTTAGTACTATGCTCGTTTTTGACTCATATTGAGATTTATTGTTAAACTCAATTTAAATCCTGTCAAGTATGAGAATATCTCTTTGTACCAGGTTCACATTCAATATTTATATATCATAATTTAAATTTTATATAGAATGTACATATTGAAAACGTTGGGTCACAAATATGTATCTTGATTCTTTTACATATACAAGGCTCAAACTATGAGAAATTCAGGTTTAAAATAGTGGGTAATTCTATTTTATAGGTAAACTAGGCCTCTCATAATATTATTACTTTGAATCAATTAGGAAGCCAAAGGCCATCACAAAGGTTTGTCCTGTAACTTAGCACAAGTTAAATAGCCTTGGACAGAAAACCCACTGTCTACATTAATGAGCTATTTGTATATAAGGCAACATAAAAAGAGGAAATTAATGAGGTATAAAACAAGGACAAGAGGAAAGATCTGTGGGAGAACAGGGTATATATTTTCAAGGAAATGTAAATGATTAGAGAAGAATAACTTAACATGAAAAACACATGCTATGCCTATAGTAGTAATAAAGTTTGCAAAGTACAAGAAAGAATGAAACAAGTTGTTTTTTTTGTTTCTAGGAATTAAAAGCCAGGCGGAAACCAATATTCCAGAGCAGAAAAATATCTTCCTGAGAGGATTATTATTTGCATTTTGAATCTGTGTTTTCACCATACTACATTTGAGCAATTATAACCATCGCTGCTTTATTTTGGTTTCACTGTATATACTTTGTTTAAAAAAAGAGTCAATTTTATTTTAAATCTTGGTTCAGTTAAACATTCCATTGGCAGGGAAGACATATGCATTTAACTTCCTTTCAACTGGATACAGAAGAGAAATAGTGTGAGCTTGGCCCAAGTGGCTGAAATTTTGTTCTAACATTGTTAAATTTCAAAGTAATATTTTTCAATAATGTTACCAACAGCAAGTTACTGAATCCTAAAACAACTAAATGTATTTTGATCACTTTATTTTGGCTGGAAAATCCAAGAACAGCAATCCCAATATATTTGATACAAGCTTCAGCGGAGAAAACTAAGGATAGAAGATAATTAGCATACCTAGACCAGATTGTGTTATGATCCAAAATTAATTTTAAGAATGGCCATTGCTAATAATGCAGTTATGTAAAGTCTTCCG